GAATTGTTTTCTATCTTTTCACTTTCAGTCTGTGGGCTTCTTTTGGTACTAGGTATGTTTCTCTTATACAACATATTGTTGGATTTTGCCTCTTATTCCATTTTGCCAGTCTGTTTCTCTTGATTGGTGAGTTGAGCCCATTGGCATTGATGGTTATAACTGATATGTACTGACTTATTATTGACATGTTATTGGCCTTTTGTTGACTCTTTTTACTTTTCCACCTTCTCCTTTTAATTTCTTGCCTTGCCTGTTTGATTTGCTGTGTTGGGCCTCATGGTGTTGTTGCCTTCATTGTCTTTTTCTAGGATCTTGTTTAGAATTGCTTGTAGTGCTGGTTTGGTATTCATGTAGTTTCTCAGGTGTTTGTCGTGGAAGTGTCTTATTTCCCCCTCCATTTTGAAAGAGAGTTTTGCTGGATACATCAGTCTAGGTTGGAGGTTGTTCTCTTTTAGTACTTGAAATATCTCATCCCAGGCTCTCCTTGCCCCAAGGGTTTGTGTTGAAAAGTCTGCTTTGATTCTGATGGGCTTTCCTTTATATGTGATTTGTTTCTTTTCTCTTACTGCTTGTAGTATTTTGTTCTTCTGATGGATTTCTGGGATCTTTGTTATTATATGCCTAGGTGTAGATTTTTTTTTTTTTTTGATTGTAGCTAGTTGGGGTCCTATATGCCTCAGTTATCTGAATGTCAAATTCTTCCCCTCTAAAAAATTTTTTTTTTTTTGATTGTAGCTAGTTGGGGTCCTATATGCCTCAGTTATCAGAATGTCAAATTCTTCCCCTCTGTTTGGGAAGTTTTCTGTCATTAATTCTGTAAACAGCTTTTTTAGGTCATTTGTATTTTCTCCTGCCACTTCATGTATTCCTATCAGTCTTATGTCATTCTTCTTTGCATCATCTAGGAGTTGTTGGATCAATTTCTCATGATCTCTTACTGTTTTTAAGAGACCTCTCTTTTCATGGTCACTGACTGCAATCTTATCTTCTATATCTGAGAGCCTATCTTCGCATTCTTTTATTCTGTTGCATACACTTTCTATGGAGTGTTTAATCTCCTGGATATCTGTTTGAATCTCGTTTATGGATTCCATTTCTTTCCTATGTTGGACGTTTATTTTTTTCTATTTCTTTCTTATGCTGGGCCTTCATGGCTTCTATCATGGTCCTGAGCTCATCTATTTTTTTGTCAGTTTCTGCTCTACAGTCTCGAATCACGACTTCCATTTTGCTCACTATATCCATGGTTATCTGGGAAATTATTTCTGCTTTGAATTTTTCTAGAGCCTGACTGATCTGTGTTGTTACTTCCTGTGCTTTGAGTTCAGGGTGTCCTGGTGGTTCACTATCGGCCTTTTCATCCTCATTTGCCCTACTGTTTGCCATTGGTGAACTGGAAGTCTGTCCTTGTGTTACCTTTTTTTTTTCTTCCATTTTCCGTTCCCCTTCCTCTTCCTCTTCTTCCTCATATTTTTCTTTTCTTCTTTCCTTTTGGAATGGAAATATCAATTCATTGTCCTTTTGAAGTAGTTAACTAGTTTTGATTTCTCAGGTTCACATCTGGAAGAGGATTTATGACAGGATGAATATGTTGAAATCTTTACCCATGCCTGATTTCAGTGAAGTGGACTTAGACTTTTGAGTTGATGCTGGAATGAATTAAGATTCTGGGGACTAATAGAATAAAATTAATATATTTTATACATAAAAAGGATATTAATTGGGAGATCCAGAATGTTATAATTTGAATGTATCCTTAAAATTACTGTGTAACCTTCAAATAGAATGGTGTTCAGAGGGATTAACTTTAAGAAATGATTAACTAATGGGATTTAATTAATGGTGATGTTATAGTGGGATCACTATAAAAGCAAGTTGGCTCTTCTTTTGTTCCCCTTCCTCTCCCCTCAGTTTCTTACCCTCCCAACTTCTGCCATGGGTTAAAGAAATTGAGCCTTGCCAGATGCAGTTGCTGTAGTCTTGGGTTTTCCACCTTATATAATTTTGAGAAATAATATCCTTGTTATTATAAACTTACTGAGCCTCTGTCGTTCTGCTAGAATAGCATAAAGCAAAGGCTTCATCTGAACAAATCAAATAAATAGAAGAAAAAAAAACAAATGATCTCTACAAAAAAGTAGTTCTGTCAGAAGGCTACCTTTTAACTCAAATTCACAACTTTTCCCAGTTTCCAGGCTTTGATTTGTGGGCAGATATTTGAACTTGGTAGTTCTTATAACTGCAGCTCTCAGATAGCTGTCTTGCAAGACATTTATGATCTCTTAAGAACCAAGCCCACAACCCTTGTTTAGAATCGTAGACTCAGGTTCTGGCACGTTTTTAAAAGTGAGGGTGCCACACTTGAAGTAAAGAATCACTTGTCTTAGTTATGTTTCTCTCCTTGCTGAGACAAAATATCTGATTCCCACAGTTAAAGGAGGAAAGGTTTATTTGGCTTACAGTTTTAGAAGATTCAGACCAAAACTAGCTGGCTCCAAGGCAGGGTGTAGAGGAGAGATGTTCATGACAGGCAGAAGGTAGCAAAGCAGGCAAGCAAAGAGCAAGACAAGCCTATTTCTGTCCTTATATTGTATCCACACTAATGTGATTAGGTTCATGACAAACCCATAAGTGGACTTTTTTTTTAGTAATCGCCCACTTTTTATCCTAGCATTGCACCGTACACTATCATTTCAGCCACCTATGAAAAATTCCCCACCTATAACTGATGAGGCTTTGTGGGGGAGACATCTAGACACACAAGCCACACCACTATTTTTAAAATCAGACATTTATCTGGGGATGTTTTTAGGAATGGGTAGTAATGATGGATTTAAGATTAAATTTGATCAGACCAAATTTATTGATTTGGCTAAGCAAAGATTATAGATTCATTGTTAAAGCATGAAGGATTAGAATCAGCTCTTGCATTTTGTCTTACCGGTTGTCTGAAACATGGTTAAGTTTGGCCTACCTTAAGTAAAGTCAAAATGCCAGACGAACAGTAATGTGCTGTAGAAGAAAAGTTTCCAATATTTAAGGAAGCAAAACACTTACTTAACTGGAATCATAAAAGAAGAACTAGAACTGCAAACAGTTTCCTAACTAGAGCTAGTGTTGAATCAGGGTAAGAGCCCTTTCTGAACTACAACATATCTATACTGCTAATTTTTCTCCCAGTTTTTCTCAAAAGGACCTACTGCTTTTTAGCAGATTGACAGCATTAGGGAAAAAGAAAAAAAATCATGCTTAAGGAATTTATTGGATCTTTTTTTTTTTTTTCTTTAGTAACAGCAATCCCTAAAGAACACTGTGGTATACCATTGAAATGCTCATAGAAGTCATGAGACCAATGCAGAGTTAAGATCCATCTCGATATGTGTCTAGTGGGTCACTGAACCTGTTTTGCAGTTATTTCTCTAGTTCTAGATACAGAATTAGAATAATTTTAGCAACAGACAAAACTTTCCCATTTGCTCTTGCCTTTTGGAGTAGAATAATTTTGGTTGGAAAGGCAAAGTGTGATCTATTAAAACATCTAGAAAATATAACTTCAAGCACGTCTTCTTTCCTGGAGAGTAGTAAAAATGAGTGTCACCACATGATACTTGAAGGTAGGGATTTTTTTTTTTTTTTTTTTTTTTTTTGCAAAGGCTGGTCTCAAACTCACAACAATCCTCCTGCCACAGCCTCCGGAGTGCTGGAATTAAAGACGTGAACCACCAAGCCCAGCTCAAAGGTAGTGATTTCAATACTATGTACAAAAGAGAGTTGGATTCCAGAGAATGACAGTAGATTTTTGTAATCTTGACCAAATGGTGACTCCAATTTCATTGCACTACCAGATGTAGTTTGATTGCTTTGAGTAAGTCGATGCATAACTTGGTAGTTATTATGCCGTTCTGTAAAATGTTTTTTGCCACATGCTTTTTCTTTCTTATAAATGTGCTCAAAGCTCTATCAATAATCAGCCTCTATCTGTAATTTAGTTCTTAGGAATCTTAATGCTTTTCTCTTCCTCAAGATGACACGGTTTGTTGTGTTGATGACAATCTGTTGATTGAACCTGGTGAATAAGAAGTAGCAACTACTACATACTTACTTTTTTAACCTTTATTTTACTGTATTATATTGTATTTTAATCTTGATCCAGGGGAATTATATATTCAGAAATAATATTAATAGCATTTTTGTTAAACTCATTTCCTGTTTTTCAGGATGAGTTCAGAGCTGTAATGTACCTTACAAAATCATTTGTTTTAGCTGTGCCCTAAGTTTCATTCACAGAAACTAAACAATGATGGCAAATTATAAGAAAATTATCATTGTTTGTGAGAATTCATCGTATTGTTACCGGTATGTGTGTAGAAAAGATATAATTTATTAGCAACATTTGTGTTAATACAAATGAAGGACTACTACTTCCAAATGGAACAGATAAATACTGTTTTTCTTTTATGCTATGGTTAAATTAATTTTGCTTTGTATGTTTAATGACTAATTCTCTAAAGGTGTCAGATTTATAATTTATTATATAAATAACATCCTCCCTGAATACTGTCTTTCTAGAATCATAATAATTTCAACTTGAAACGCTTTATTTAAAAGATGAATCAGTTTACTCTTAGAATGACTCTCCCATCTGAGTACTAACTAGGCCCAACACTTCTTAGCTTCTAGGATTGTATGAAGTTGGGCATGTTCAGAGTGGTATGGCTATAGAACTAAAGTTTCTTCTGATTTGCCAATTAGAAGAAAAATTGACTGTATTTTATATGTGTATTGTAGATTAAAATCATTTTATATTCAAATATCAGTTATCTTGTTTGAATTCTTTAATATTGTATTTGTTAGACCTGTAATACATGAAACACTGACAAAAATTGCTATATGATGAGACTTATAAATTTAGATTTTAAAATTATCTTTAATTGGTATGTTTTTAAATTTATATAGTAATTGTTTTAAGATATAATTGTCTGAATTTTCCTCCGCAATAGATACTGTCTTCTGAAAATTCTAAAGCATTGTCAGACATTGAGAGAAGCTGTTATAGCAGCAGGAAAAGATGTTATATGGCATGGACGAACAAACAGTGAACCTGCTCATTACTGTAGTATCTGTGAGGTATCTGCTTACAGATATTTGTTTTTGTTTCAGAATATTCCCTCTCACCCTCCCTCCCTGTCAAAATATAAATTTACATAGACTTTTACATAATCCCTTTTACTGAAATCAACTATTATGTTGAATTCTCATGTGAAGGTAAAATATTTCACTATCTATAACTATATATATTTACCTAGGAGTATATTTCACAGAAACATCCATGAAGTAGGTCTCTACTATGGTAATACTTTTAGATTTTGTAGTAGAAACAGCCTTAAAAGATCGATGCAACCAAACTGGATTTAAGTTCACCTAAATCCCGGCAGATTAGTATAAGATCCTTTGTAGAAAATTCATTTTATAATATACTAGGTGAGCATTTTTAATATAAAATCAGAAATACTGCAAAGTCTGGAATTTTTTGAATTTGGAAAGATGCCACAAGTGGGTCCTGACGTCATGCGATTGATCTTTGAAACAAGGATACACTAGAAAAACTGTATAAAATTGTATTCTGGCTATGTGCATAACACATATCTGAAATATAAATGAATTTTGGGTTTAGACCTGGGTGCCCTCCAAGATAATTTTACATTTATGCAAATACTCCAAAATCTGAAACACCTCTTGTTTTATTTCTAATATTGTCATAAGAGCGTATAGATAGCATTTGAATCTCTCTGAAGATTGTATTTAATCGCAAAAAGAAAAGTGATTAAAATGGATTTGGAACATCAATAGACTTTGGAGCATTGTTTGGATGGATAAAGAGGGTATTTAGATGTATTTAGAAGCTGTTGGATTGGTTCTAAGAGGCCTTTGTTATTGGAGGACCTAGATTAGATCCTGTCTTTAAGAATATATAACAAATCCCTGCCGTGGCTGGCCACCAACCCTCAATCCACGCCAGCACCTTCTCCCCCAACCACCCATCCCCCACAAGTTCTCTAGCTCTGCCTGGCAGCCTGCCCACTCCACTCCCACCCCCACCCCTCCTTTCCAGGTCCTATTCTGATCCCCCAGGCAGAGATACATAAGAGATCTGACCAGCATTGACATTTTACTTATTTTTTTCTTCTTGAACCTAGGGCCTTCACACTGAGCTACATCCCCATTCCTTTAAAAAAAAATTTTTTTTATGTCAGGTTTCTCCAAGTCTCCAAATTGCTCAGACTGTTCTTGAACTTGGAGTCCTCCTGTCTCAGTGAGAATTACAGGTGTGGTCAGCATGACTGCCGCTGCTTTTTAGGGAATGTGGTGTGTAAACAGGCAATGTAGACATGTCCATGGTTTAGTACATGTGTTGCTCTTTTAAAAATTTTTATGGTATTGATTTTACTGTTTTTAATTTAAACCTGATGACTTACTTGCACAGTTACCCTCTTCCATTAGAGGGATGCAAAGTATGATTTTCTCTCTTAGGGGTGTGAAAATTAAGTATACAAAATGGAGTCATGCCTGTCACACACTCCGATGAGTTGAGGAAATACTGTTGGCTTGCTCCGGAATTCTTTCACTAAAGGAAACTAAAGGAAACAGCCCATGCTATCTTATTTGTTGTTTTGTTTTATGTTTTTCCAATACTGGGGATTGAACCCAAGACCTTTGTACTGTGCAGCATCCCTAGCCCTTTTTTATTTTACAATAAGGTCTTGCTAAATTATTTGTGCTTGGCCTGAACTTTAATTTTTCTTTTTCATTGTCCCAGGTTACTGAGGTTACAGGCTTTTGCCCCTACCCTGAGCTCTAGTTTATCTCTAAGCTATTTTTACTTAGCAACTGCCAGTTAGAACCTTAACAGTAATTTTACATAGTAACTGCCATGGCTGAGTTAGCCATCTTTTAGAAGCACTAATTATGCTAAAGAACTTTCCTTTTCTGCTCTTGGGGTAGGGATCAAACCAGTGCTCTACCACTAGATTATATCCCCAGCCCTTTTTAGTCTTTATTTTAAGGCAATGCTAAGTGTTCTAGGCAGACTCAGAATCTCAGTTCTTCTGTCTCAGCCCCACTCAGTGCTAGGATTACAAGTCTGGTTGCCAATGAACTTTTGTTAAAATAACTTGTAGATTTTTCCTTCCTAATAAGCCCCTACGCTTTCCTTTATTCTGTGACTTTCCCACCATAGACTGTAGGTATGACCAGGATCCTTTAATCCCCCAGTAAAAATTATTTTGTTAAAATAAAAGAATATATAAGAAAATCTTAAATTTCAACAAGTAAAATCCAAGATTGTTTATCAAATAAGGAATGACGACAAGTTGGAGATCCCAGATTTTAAAATTCAGGCCAATGAAGTATTGTTTCAGTCTACTGATAAAAATGGAAAACCTTACAAACTTTAGAATTGAAACAGAGAAATTAAAAAATGATGAAGTAATTAGTTATTATTGGAGAAATCAAATAGAAGTCCAAGGACCTCTACATGGAGAAATGAAGGCTTAACCTAAACCTTAAAATTCAGTTATTCTGAGTAAACTAGTTAAAACATAACTATTTTTACCTTGTACAGAAGAAAGTATTTTATTATGAGATCAAATAGATTCTAGTTAAAAAAAATAGATACTACTTAGTGTTGTCCTTCAAAACAATATGTATATATGTATCTTCCCACCATTTGAAAACAAACATTAAAATATCCCATAATATTTTCCTGCCTGAGCCTTTGAAACTCATTAGTCTTTCTGTGTAGTATATATATTATCTGTTATTTTGCTAATGCTTCTGAATTTAATTTTCATTTTAAGGCTGAGAACTAAACAGTACTGTTTCTTGGTCTTAAATCAGATTATATTCATTGAAGTTTTTTGTTGTTTTAGCTCTGACTAAATATTAACATCATGAAATGTTCATAAAATTTAATAAAATACAGTATCTTGATAGAGGTCAGGATATGGGAAAAGACAATTATAATGCTGTATGAATACTATCATAGAAAAATTAAAAGTAAATAATGAACACTAATCTGATTATGCTGTAGTATTTGGAATAATATAAAAATAGACATCAAATTTTGAATTAAACTTTTGCTAATCATGGTGATAAGTATTTAATTCCCTTAAAGTCAGCTTCTAAATATGTAATACTACCTTTACTTTTTAATGTGCTCTAAAATAAATATGTCTGCACATACAGCAATAGTTTTAAAATTATATGCATTTAATCAAAAGCACTGCCTATGATTTCAAGTAAAATAGCACTCCCTGGTTATACTAAATTGGCATAAAATTAACTACTGAGGTGCCTCAGCATTCATGTTAATTGGTTGTGAGAGGTTCAAGGAGTTCCAAAAGGAGGAGTACCACATTGTTTTGGCTGAGAAGGGTAGTGAATGAGGAGGCCACTGACACTGACATGTTCTAGCTGGAATGATGATCATGAAACAAAATTTTCTACTCAAAATGTGCAGAGTGCCAAATTTGAGGAATTTCAAAATAGTCAAGTACTGACACATGGCTCTATCTTTATTGATTACTTTTTTCTCTTCTATTAAAATAGGTGGAGGTATTTAATCTTCTTTTTGTCACTAATGAAAGCAGTTCTCAAAAGACATACATAGTATATTGCCAGGACTGTGCACAAAAAACAAGTGAAAATTTGGAAAATTTTGTGGTGCTAGAACAATACAAAATGGATGACCTGATGCAAGTCTATGACCAGTTTACATTAGTAAGTGAATTCAGCATGTTGGTAGTTAGCTGGGTTGTAAAGTGGTAATGTTTGTTTTTGGCTACTTGATAAATAGAACTTAATTACATATTTGAACATTGTATTTGCTTCAATAGATGGCATAAGAAAAAAACATTCATGTTCTTACTCATACTAAATTTGAAGTTGTTAATTATTACCATTTTTCCTACCGAATGAGAAAGTCTTAATAAGTAGTCACAGTAATTACATTTTAAGGGCCAGGATTTAGCTCAGTGGCACTGAACCTGCGTGGCAAGTGCAAGGTCCTGAACTTTTCCCTAATACCCCCCCCAAAAAATTAAATTTTAAAGTCTCTGTAAAATTTTACAATATTATAGTAATCTTTTTGTTATTTAGCCTGGGTGATGACATTTATCAGTAAGATTAAGATTATTTTGTTCTCTTGTAGTAGTTCCATGGATAGAAATAAATGTATTTCTGTTTTGCAATATCCTTGTATTTTCCAAGTGTATTTATTTAAAGTGTAATCCCTCCTATAAGTATTAATGAAATGGAACTATCTGAAGGAGCTTGACTAAATGGTAAAAAATTTATATGAGAACATTTCAATCTCATAAATGGCGGCTTTTTTTTTAACTTCAAAGAAAAGTTGTTTAGGATAGCATTTGCTTTTGGCTTTCACTGTTTTATAAATAGAAACAGGTAGTAATTTATAAGTTGTTAGTATTATTCCAGGACCCTTTGCTTTGATTTGAAATTTAGTTCCTAATGATTACTATCAAATGGTTCTTTTAAGTGAAAAAGAAAGTATATGTAGAATATGTAATGTTTTCTTGATTGCTACTGAAATACTGAGTTTTTCAGTTATTTTTCTCACTAGACTTTTCTTTTAGTATTCAGAAAAATTGTCATCCCCCCTAATTAGCATGCTAAGGCAGAAGGTTGCAAATTTTAGGACAGGCTGGGAAGTTAATGAAATCCTGTCACAAAATAAAATCTAAAAAGGTGTAGGTTTCTAATTCATTGAATTTTGATCTAGCTTGAGCAAGGCTGTGGGCTGATTTCCCACTGTCCCCCTGCCGAACTCAACATAGTATTATTCCGAAATTTGTGACTAATCTTGAAGTGGTAAGATAATGATACAGGAGTTTCAGGAAACTGGTTCTAGTTAGTACGAGTAGTCTGTTGAGATTTGAAGTTTATTTTCAAATTCTCATAAAATGTGTACTTGTTGTTTGTAACCATGTGCCATAAAACATTCTTTAGGCTTTATATAACAATATAATTTACATTCTTTATTTTTAATTTTAGGCTCCTTCACCATCATCTTCCTCTTCTTAATACTGTTCCATGAACCTTTCTGCTCTTCAGGAAATATCTGTACAACTGATTTTGTAGCTATTTCATAAAACTGCTGGCACAATACTATGCCTATGCAAACTTCCAAGAAGAGAGAGAAGATCAGGTAACTGGACAGAGAGAGCATTTCCTCTATTCTAGTGTTTAAAAAGCTCACCTGGCTGTGTTGTAGAAAAAATAATAATTATGTTATTATTATAATATTATGTTTTGTGTACACCTGACAAATGTCATTGTTTGCATAGACTCCTGACTTAAAGATAGTCCTTTTTTTTATGTTTCTGAATTTACAGGCCAGTGGATTAATTTTCATCTGTATTTTACCTTGTAGAGTTGTCTTGGGAAAAGGTACTGCCTAACTGGTCATTTCTTTGTAAGAATAGATTTCAGTCTTTAAAAATTTTTTTTTCCTGACCAAGTTTTATTTGAAAGATGAGGTAAGACAGTTTTTCACTCATGTTTTTCTGTATTGTTCTGAGGCCATGATAATTATGCTTTTGTGGTTCTAAAATAAAATGAATAAAAAGAATAGCCAAGATGCAAAAAAGGATTACACATAAAGCATAAACTTCAGATTTATGATTTTTGTTTATAATCTTGATACAGATTTAAGCTATTTGTAAGTACATATTTATTGCTTGAAAATATTTCTGAATGAAACATTGTTTTTCCCAGACTTACTTGCCATTAAATACTAAGGAGTTCTGTAATTTTAAACACTACTCCTTTTACATTTTCTATGTGTAAATAAGCCTGTTTAGAAATGTACAGAAACTTTTATTAAAACTTTGTTTAAAGGGTTTTCCACTGCTTGAGTTTAAGAAAAAAACTTGTGTAAAGACTGTTTTTGTTTTTTGCAAATCTAATGAATATATGTATATTCTGTGTATACACACCTATGTATAATATATAGAAATCTTAGTCTATAATTGTATAAGGAAAACACAAAAATTTTACACTTATCATAGTTTTTGAGGTGCCTACTATAAAATATTGCTTACAAAAAAAGTATACTTATTTTTCAAGTAAATGGGGTGATTTATCAAGTTTTGGTGTGATTTATTAAGTTGCCCATTACTGCAATGATAGCTAATAAATATTTGCTAGCAAAATATGGAGTAAAGTTAGAGTTTTAAAGGGAACATTTTATAAATCTGATAAATCTTGTTGTCATTTTTGGTTATTTTATGAACAAGAGAATCAGAATGGTAATTTGTATTTTAGAGAATAGATAGTTAGTGACTTTTTCTTTTTTTTTTAGTTAAATGACTTAGAAATTCCATGCTGTTGTGATTGTACCACTTAGTGGAAGAGGGCTGAGGTGAGATGAAAGTATTAAAATTATTTTCACTAGTGAATTTTAGCAAATTATATGATAACTTTTATTTCATCTGAGTAACTTTTTAACTATATAACCTAATTTTATAATAATGCCTCACTATTCTACCTCTACTTTCTAAAGCATTTGGTCTGTATTCTTATTTTATCATTTGTTCTAAGAGTTTTCCAACAATCTTTATTGAAGAGTTGTAAAGTGCTGTACATTAACTTACATAAATTTCTAAAGAGAATTTATAATCCAATGTGATGAAACGTCTGGAGTGCAATAATGAAGTATCTTTTTAAAAATGATATTGGGATATTTTAGCACCCTAAACTAATGAAATATTTTGCTGTTTAATATTATTTTGAAGTATTAAAATCCTCTGTGGGTATTCATCACCTATGTATAATTTCTTAAAAAACTGCAATTTTTGGTTAAGAAAGAAAAAAATGCTGAATTTTTCTAGATATGTGGAATGTTAATACTCATGATTTTCATGTAAATCTTCTCAAAGATCACAAAGTCAAGAGAAACTTTTATTCAAACAATTTGTTGTTTGTTCTGGTAGCATATGTTTTTAATCCCAGCAGTATGATAGACTGAGACAATACTTGAGACAGGTTTGAGTCTTACCTGAGCAATTTAGTGATTTGGTGATAATGAGACCTTATCTGAAAAGAAAGTACAAATACAAATAAAATACAGGGCTAAGAGATGTAGGTCTGTGGAAAAGACCTGGCTTTGTCCTCAGTACTGCTCGCTTCACCTCAAAAGCAAATCAGTTGTCAGCAGAATTATAGAGAACTACAGCCACATGATTATTGACATGATATCTTGTAACCCACCTATTTTAAAATGAATTTATTACCAAGGTAAATAATTTGAATTTACCCAATTTATTTAAACCTGAAAATGATTTGGCTTTTAAAAATATACTTGGATTATATTAATACTTTTTAGAAATATATCTATATTACTGAAATCTCTTAGTTTATTTTTATCATTTTTATTATTTTTACAAGAGACTTTAGGCCTTAAAAGACATTCTTTTTCTTTTTACTGTTGGATGGGTGAAACTGTTAATATGTTTCAACTAAACAGATTTGTATTATAGCACACATATTATTTTAAAAGAGCCCTAATTGGCAAATTCGCTAAAGCAACAGGTTTTTTTTCTTGAAATAGAAAGTGAGAATTGACCCTAATTCCTCTTTGTTAGCAATTAAATACCGCTTTTTACTGAAGAGTGAGATCCATTTCTTCCATGGTTACATGACTCAACTTGTTTATTCAAGTAGATAATAAAACATTTTAACTTCTGTGTTTTAAAGTTGAAATAAGTCACTTTTCCCAAGTTTACAAGTTTACAGAGTAAAGCCTTCAGTATACTAGCATATGGTCAGATAGGGTTTATGCTCAGACTTGGACTCAACTTAAAGGAGAAGTATTTCTCAGAAATACTTGAGCCTTTTGCTTAGTTTATGTATTTTCATTTGTTCATTTATTAATTTCTTCTAAAACCCAGATATAGTTATGATGCACAGTTGTACCTTGTTTTTCCATACCAGTAAAGATTTTCAATCCACTTTGGAAGAGTCATGAATTTAGCTAAAAAACTGTTACTAAGGTTTGTATTCAAAGATGTATATGTATATTATGTATATGTTGTTCATATTTCACTGAACATTAATGATTGGCATATTTAAAGCATTGGGAGAGTTAATAGATAACAAGGCTAGTATCTAATGACTCCTCAATCATGTCAGACTTTCATGTTGTTAGTAATGGAGCTGCTGACTAGTTTTAAATAAAAGTGTGTCATTAAAATTTGAAAATCTTTTTGTTGAACACACTCCCATTTGTGTGTGCCAGGGACATAATTCAAAGGATATAAGTTCATGTGGGGAAAAAATGGTTTGGGCTTAACTTGTCTATTGTTGAATGGAATAATATAGACAGATTTACAAAACATTGTAAGAATAAAGTCCACAGATCCCATTAGTTGTCTTCCCAGTGGAAAGGAGGGTTTTTGAGAAAACAACAAAAGGCAGAAAAGACAAAGTAGATATTAGAATATAACCAAAAAGTATGTAAGAAGTATATAAGAGAAAATCAGATGGATATATGTGTTTATGATTTAGGATTAAAAATTAATCTAAGTGAGGGCCAGGGATTTAGCTCAATGGTGCTGACACTTGCCTCACAAGCACAAGGTCCTAAGTTTGGTACTGGGGAGTACCAAAAAAAAAAAAAAAGAAAAGAAAAGAAATTAATCTAAGTGAGTAGAGCAACAGACTAAGCATATCTTAGAAAGCCAATATAAAAATGGCATCAGACAATAATTAAAGAAAATTTAAAGAACAGAAAGTAGTACTTTTAAAAAGTGACTATATTGTATTGAATAGATACAAAGTGAAGAGATACTTTTGAGGTAGCACAAGGTTTCTGTGATGTTAAATCAAGTAGTTTTAGTAATGTTGTAAAGCCTTGATTACCTTACCATATTTGAGAAAAATTTTGAATGTATTTGGAATTTTGCAGAATTGGAATATGAGATTATCTTGATATTCTCAGACTACCTACTTTGAGCAACATTTCTTCAGCATTTATGTAGTATATTTTGAATATGATGTTATTTCATCATTCTAAACCATCCAGATGATGATTTACTTTGCAAGCAAATATTTTTATCTTGTTTTTAATATGATCTAACTAACCCTACTTTTTATTGTGTATTTTTTAAAAGCACTATGCTAAGTACCTTCCATCTAATTTGCTGTTCAGTTTTCCAGTGATCTGTAACAGTAGAAAATCATCTTTATATCTTCATCTTATGGATAAAGAATTAAAGGGAAGCTGGGCCTGGTGGTGCAGGCCTGTAATTCCAGCATTTGGGAGGCTGAGGCAGGAGGATCACTATGAGTTCAAGACCAGCTTGGGCTACATAGTGAGTTCTGGGTCAGTCTCAACTACCTATGAGACCCTGTCTCAAAACAAACAAACAGCAAAAATTAAAGGGATAGGGCCAGATATTTATGTCAGTGTTTCCACTGATTGCTTTGCAAGTGCAAGGACCCAAGTTCAATCCCTGGTACCAAAAAAAGAATTAAAGGGATGGAAAACTGAAGTAAAGATTAAAACTTGGGATGACTCCATAGTCAGTGGTATTCCACCTTCTTCAATAGGAAGTTGGAATTGCTAAAACCCTTACAAGGCTAGTTGTGTTTAAATAATTATTTCCATTATGGTAGCTTGGAACTCAATATTCTATTAGGATAACTACATGTATTTTGTTGTAGTTAATTTTTTTTATTTTCATAACCAAGGTCATGGTACAAGCCTTAGTCCTAGCACTCTGGAGACTGAGGCAGAAGAAATGCAAGTTCTAGCCCTCTCTGGGTAACTTAGTGACAGAAGAACCCTCTCTCAAATAAATAAAAGGGGTTGAAGGAGGAATGTAGCTCAGGGTAAAGGCTGTAAATTTAATCCCAAGTACGTAACTGGCATTTACATGCAAAGAAGTAAATAATGCAAAGGTTTTGTTTTGCCTGTTACTTCTTTTCCCACGATAGTGGCATTTTACAAAAATACAGTAAAAAGTTACTTCAATACCAGTGGCATCATCACACGGAATTTTTCTTTGACCTCCAACTCTATTCCTTTCCCCCAATTCCTGATTCAGGTCCTAGATTACATATTAATTTGTTCTGTTTCTATAATTTTGTTATTTCAAGAATGTCTTAAATATTTTCTGTACATTTTTATAGTACATAACATTTATATTCATTGTGTGGATTTAATAGGTATATATAACACTTCCCAGTTCCTTTTTTTCAACTCTAATACCTTTCCTTCCTTTTTTCCACCTCCTGCTCATCCTATTTCTTGATTCCTTTCCCCTTTGAATTATCTTAATGCCATACTTCCTATTATCTACTTTTTTATTTGCTATTTATTTTTACTCTAGGCTTCTCATATAAAAGAAACCATGTGATATTTAAGCAAGTGTTATAAAACATGTAGCCTGTGGGGATAGACTTACTTTTACAAGGTATAGTCCTCTGTAGATGTTTTTGGGCGTATATCATATATTAGTAGTTCTTTTTATCTGTGAGTATAGATGTACTACTACTTACTTTGACATTGCTAAAGCCTTAATGATTGATCCTTGTCCCCAAATGGTTACTTAGAGAGGTTGGTGGTTCCATTAG